CTAAGAAAATGCATGCGGAGTTAAGGAAGTGTATTTTGGTCCCTATTTTTAAAATTAAAGGTGATGCACAAGATTATGCAAATTATAGATGAATTAAGTTGATGTGACATACTTTAAATTATGGAAGAGAGTAATTGATCATAGATTAAGACGTGATACAAATATTTCTCATAATCAATTTGGATTTATGTCTGGCTTGTCTACTATGGAAGCTATACATTTATTGAAAGGTTTGATGGGGAAGTACAGAGAGAGTAAGGAGGATGTATATATGAATTTTGTTGTTTTAGGACAAGCAATAAGGTCCCGATAGATTTCTTTTTGCAGAGTTCTAGAGAAGAAATGTGTTGATATGATGGCTTGTCTACTATGGAAGCTATACATTTATTGAAAGGTTTGATGGGGAAGTACAGAGAGAGTAAGGAGGATGTATATATGAATTTTGTTGTTTTAGGACAAGCAATAAGGTCCCGATAGATTTCTTTTTGCAGAGTTCTAGAGAAGAAATGTGTTGATATGACTTATATTCAAGTCATTAAAGATATGTATACTATAGTTGTTACTTGTGTTCGAACAGGAGGAGAATTGACTAAGTATTTTCCTATTTCAGTTGGATTACATCAAGGATCTTCTTTAAGCCTATTTCTTCTTTAAACCTATTTCTTTTTGCATTAGTTATGGATGCTGTTACTGGACATTTACAGGAGGTTGTACCATTGTGTATGATTTAGTTGTTGATATCCTTCTTGTGGATAAGACTATAGAAAGAGATCAGAAAAAACTTGAATGATGCAGGTCTACATTGGAGTCTAAAAGCCTTCATTTAAGTAGATTTAAAACTGAATACATGTAATGTAATTTTATTAGTAGTAGCTTTAGTGACAGTTGTAAGTATGGGTGATGAAATTATTAAAAGTTGTGAATATTTTAGATATTTTGGGTCTATTGTTCAAAATGATGATAGATGACGATGTTATTAGTAGAGTTCAAGTTCGTTGGTTGAAGCGGATGAATGCATCAGACCTATTGTGTGCTAGAAAAGTACCGCTTAGACTTGAAGGAAAATTTTATAAGATGGTAGTGAAACCTGCAATGCTTTATGATGCAGAATGTTGCAGAATGTTGTCCTTTGTTGTCCTTTAAAAGAGAAGCATAAAACAAAGTTAAGTGTTGCTGAGATGAGAATGCTTAGGTGGATGAGTGGCTTGACACTTAAAAGACAGTGCGAAATGAATATCTCCGTGATAGGGTTGGTGTAGCTCCAGTGGCGGACAAGATTAGAGAGTCATCTTAGATGGTTTGGTCACATTAAACGTTGACCATCTGATGATCCGATTAGGAGATTAAATGTTTTAGATTCAACTTATGTTAAGAAAGGCACTGGTAGACCTAAAAAGACTTGGGCCTGTTCTATAAAAAATTATCTTAATCAATTAGTGTTAAATTAAAATGTCGCTCAATCGGACACAATGGAGAAAAAGGATCCATGTAGCCAACCCTACTTAGTGGGATAAATGTTTGTTGATGTTATATTAGTTTCTTTCTCTATTGTTAGGGTTTCCCACTTCTAACCTTATTCCCTTTTTCGGATTCTAATTTTTTAATTACCATATCTTGGTTTTTTTAATTTCCTTCAAATGAATCGATTCTGATTAATTATGAAAACCAGCCAAGGGAGAACTTAAAGAATTTCAAGCATCTTATTGCTTGAACGGGAAAATATATTTTAATTGGCTCAAATTTGTGAAGGCCCTTCTAAAAGGAAAGAGAAGGATCTAAGCCTTTATGGATTCATTTTTGGAGCCCACAGAACCAAAGTTGATATTTTAAGCAATTTATTCTATTATCATGATAGAGAAAAATGCCAAAATAGTCCTCTGACTATTTACTTGGAGCCATTTTAGACCCAGAGTCTATAGAAGTGCAAAATTAGTCCCAAGTCTCTTTAATATTGTCATAAATAGACCACAAGGAGGACTATTTTAGCTTCCTTTAAAAGAGTTTGGAGACTGAATTGACAATTTTATAGAATCTGGGACTAAAATGACTCCTGACAAAAAGTCAAGGGATCATTTTGACAATTTTTGAACCATGATATATTTTTGGAACACAATTTTTCTTTAGATTAGCGGGCCATTTATGTTTCTTTCTGCTGTAAAGGTGATTTGAGTCACAATCAAGCAAACTTACTTAAAGGTGAAAATGCTGCACTCTTCCACGGGTTACCACCATCAAACAAGACAACTTCCCTATTATTGAATAGTTTAATGCCATGAAGGTTCATTGGTGGGAATTGGATTATTACTAAGATATGAAAATTTCATGATATGAGAATAAGATGATCCTCAAAAAATTTGTGGTGGGAGAATTTTTGAGCTCCATCATGACTCAACATTGAACTTGACTAAACTCAAATTCATTTCTTAAATATAAAATTATTTTTCTTTGAATGAAGTATTCTCTCTAGTTGAGCTGAAAAAAAGAAGAATGATGATGATTAATGATTTCACATTTGATGTATCTATCATAACAACATCTGCATCTTAATATAAAGGACTTTCTGTCGTAGAACATTCTCCAAAAGGATAAAAATCCTCTTTCAACGATAATCTCTGGTGCAACCATTACAAAAAAAATAAAAAAATAAAAAAGACAATTAAAGACATCCTGAAAGCTCTATGGAAAGTTCCATGGCTATGGAGAAAACAAAGATGAAATTAAAAAATAACATGCTTGCTTAATGGAGTTAGAATGATTCATCTTAGAATAAATTGATAAACTATAAATTTTTTTCAATTTTTTGGAAAAGCCATCCAAATTTTACTTTCTCATAATGGTACCATATCTATTTTTTATATTTTTTATGTCTCAAATAAATCTTTCCTTCCTGGATCCTAGATTTAAGAGCTACTGATTGCATGACAGATTCTGCCAATATATTTCACAATTATAAATCTATCCAAAAAATGGAAAATCCAAGAACTATAGATGCATCTTTAATAACCATTACAGGAAAGGAAAATATCTTTTATTTCTCTCAGCTTAATTTTTAATAATATATTGCTTGTTTCACATATCGTCATTCCATGTTATGTTTATTAGGACCTTACTAAGTAGATGATTGGGTAAACTAGTGAAAATGATTTAGTATTTTTCCTTGAGCATTGAGATTTGCTGTCATTTTCCTTGGTTATCATCTAGACAAACTATTATAGATTAAGTACCCAATATCTCCAGAGCTACAGTACTTTTATATTGATTTGTTTTGATATGTTGGGATCTTTTGTAATCTCCAATATCTCTGGAGCTATTGGTTTTGTTATCTTTATTAATGATTGCACTAGAATGTTATGAGTATATTTAATTAATTAAAAATTTGATGTTAGCACTATACTTTATATATTCTTAGTCATGATAAAAAATCAATTCAACTTTAACATCAATTTTTTTTTGGATTAATAATAGCTGTGATTATTTTAATCATACATTATCTTCTTTTTATTCAAAAAGGATGTTATCTATGAATTTTTCCAACAGTCTCCAACAAAATGGAATTATAGAAAGCAATCACCATTTTTGGAGTCATTATGACACTTCTATTTTATAATCACAACGTAATGATATTGATAAAAAATTTTCTAAGATCTACCTATTTAATTAATTGAACATCTTCCAGAGTAATTTATTTCAAAGTCTTTTAAATTACTAAGTAGTGTTATAGCTTATATTCATATCTATAAAAAACAGAGGAGAAACTTTTATCTAAGATCTCTTATGTGTGTAGATATTTTATCATACAAAAGAGATACATATGCCACCATTCACTCACAAAAGACTCCTCACTTAACTTTTTCATTCAAACTTATCCTCAGTGGAAAAATTATCAATTCCAAGTTTAGTTTGATGTTATTTTTCATCTTAAAATTCCTGCAGCCCAAAATTCTATAAATAAAAGTTTTGTATCAGTCGTGCCCCTTAGGTCTATATAAAAATGAACACGCCTGGTAGATCTCTAACAAGCCTAGAATTCGGAGTCATTATCAAGTAAATGTTGAACAACTCATGAATGCTCATTTATATTTCATCTCCTAGTAAATTTCATTTCCTAAAATTTCTCTCTCATAAACTTTTCTAACCTAACACTAACCTCCATTTTCATTTCATAAATTATGCTTAAGGCACTTGAAAATATAATATGGAAGGAGGTTGTGACAAAAGAGATGAATGTCATGAGAGATTGTTGAATTGCTAAAAGAAAATATATAGTAGAATGCAAATGGATCTTCACGGCCAAATGCAAAGCATATTGGAGCATGAAAAATACAAAATTAGATTGGTGGCAAAAAATGATATACTTAATCGTATGAGATTGATAATCGAGAAATATTTGCTATTGTTGCAAAATAAATTTTTTTGTTGTATCCTCAGATGCAAATTGTGGTTGTCTAACAATAGTAAGATGCAATTTTTTTTTTCTTTATGGGGACGGTGCATGGGGGTTGGGGAAAGTTCCTGCCAGAAGGCTTGGATTCTTGTGAGGGGCATAACAAATTTTGATCGAAAGGGGGCTGTTAACGATATCGAATGGATGTTCCTACCTTACAATGTAATTTTGCTCCTCTTTTTTTATATAGAAATTTCTTTTGGCCAAAACAAAAATAGTCTCCAGAGGTGTCTAACTTGGTCTTCAACTTGTCCGAGCCGTCAAGCAATTACTTATTCATTCTCATGGTATTGTTTGATTAATGAATCCCCAATATTTCATTTTGTTCAGCTCCAGACAGTTTTCTTCCTTCGTAATGCTTCATTTGTTTAGTTCAAGGTTGTGTATCCAGTTTCTTTCTTCAGATGGCTGTAATAATTGAGCGAATTTATTCATTTGTTACATTTCGATTTTCTAATGATTTTAGCCCTTTTAGTGTGATCTTTTATAATTATTTGTCCAACCAACAAGTACTAAAAATGGCAAATGATGTTGCCTGAACTTTTTTCTTGAATAGCTGCTTCTGAGCAGGACATCATCGCTACAGAAACTCCCAAACAGTTTCATAGTGAAGATAGTGTTAGCAATACGTTAGAAAACAGTAGTAAGCAAGAACCAGATTTGAAGCCTGACCCAGGCCGTTTCCACAAGTTTGGGGTGGAGAAGGAAAACCCTCCAGTGGAAGCAAATTATGTATCTAGAGAGCAGAAAAATGAAGTTGTATCTAATGAGCACAACAGAACTACGAGAGGAGAAACTATATCTGGTCATGGCGGTCCTGGAGCCACAAATGAAGCTCAGAATGTGATTTTCACCATTTTAACACCTCGAAATATCAGTCATTCCGTTATAGCAACCGAGAATATTCGTCTCCTCTTCTCCTTTGTCATGGCCATTTTAGTGATTTTGTCATACAATGGTTTTATGATTGGTGTTAGGCTTGTGAGCAGTATCATCAGCTTCAGACCACTTTTCTTGGTGCTTCTTAATGATGTAGCCATTATTCTTGGGTGGGTGTTCATGAACCAAGGGATCAACCAGAAACCTGAAAATGATACAAGTAAGATTGTGCTTGAGGATGGGGGATGGCCAAATCAGTTGAGCAAAATTTTGGAGGTAGGCCAGGTACTCCATAAAATTCTGGGTGCTGCTTTCATGGATGTCAGTATTTGTGCAATCTTCATGATATGTGGTATGATGGCTTAATATTTTTGCTTCTTTTTTTTAGGCTTTTCATTTTGTTTATCCTAATTTTTTTTTATTATTACAAAAACAATATTTTGCCTTTTGTGGCTACCTTTTTAATTATTTTGCTGTCTGTCAGTTAAATATTTATTGTCATATTTGATCCTTTTCTATTATTTTTCTGATGGTATGAAATTAGCATATTAAAGGTAGCGATTAATGACATTTGTTTTAGAAGTTTCCTAATATTTATGAATTAAAAAGGTTCTTATACATCTGTTGAATCACAAAATATATGGGCCTGGTGCTAGTAAAGTTGGTTTAATTGACAAAGCACCAAATAGTTTATGTTTTGACTATGGTTTAGAAATTCGGACCGGACCAGCCGGTTCGACCGTGAACCGACTATAGGTCCAGTTCTAGTTGGCATAAAAAACCCCTCCCGCATATAATTGCTCAGAAGAAGGTTGAACCGGCGGTTCATCCCTTGAACAGGCAAACTGGCTCCGGTTCAAGAATAACCCACATACAAAGCAGTAGAATAAAGTAGTCAAAATTGAAAATCAGATCAGACATTCAACTGGTAGAATAAGAGGTTCTACCAGTTCAAGGTTCAAAGTTCGGTTGACAGACATTTACATACGTATCACCCAATTTATGTATTTTATGATTTATTGGGTCATCCAGGGTTCAACTCCGGTTCAAACTTTGAACCTTGAACCCGTAAATTCTTCTACTGGTTGAATGTCCGGTTTGATTTTTATTACCTTAATTTTGACTACTTTTTTCTACTGCTTTGTATGTGGGCTACTGTTGATTTCTTAAATGTGATGCTATTGCAAATGAAGCTGTACTTGGATGCTGTTAGGGCTAAAACTATGATCGTTGTTTGAAAAATTTTGCTTGTTGAATGCTTTCTATAGCTTCAGAATATAATCTATGGTTTGCCTAAATTGTTATCATAACTTTTTATCATAACAATACAACGAACTGTCCATAGATTTAAAGTTTTCATTAAATTTTTTTTATGAATCATATTGGGAAATATCACTTTGAAGAATTCATTTAAAACTCAGAATACCAAGGCAACGCTGGATCTGTGCAAGTGGGGAGACAACAATTCAAGCCCATTGAGGTGACACGCCTGACATAGTCTCTTCTCCTTTTATATCTCAAGCGTTCCCCTAGAGAAGTTCAAGCTTTCGGTGTTGGATGCATATCAAGGTTCGTTGGATCCCAATAACCACATTACCTCATTCAAATTCGCAATGTGTATGTTGAAATTCTCAGACGCATTTAAGTGTTGCCTTTTCTTCACTACCCTGAGGTCTTCAACCCTAAAGTGGTTCAACTCGCTCTCGACTGGGAGTATCAGTGGCTTTTTGGACTTCCGAAAACACTTCTTGGCATTGCAAGCTATCGTGTACCAAAGAAGAGTGTCAGGCCTTGTGACAGCTAAAATAAGGACAGAATGAGAGTGTGTGCTCCTACATCCTGCGATTCCAAAGGGATATGCTGGATGTGGGACCTCTGAGCCCACACGACACAAGGACCCTTATGCAGGTCATGAGGTTCGAGAGGTTTCATTATGAACTTAGCTTATACGTAGGGTTTGCTCGAATTACTAAAAATATATGTTAATTATTTTCAATTTTACTTTTATTATGTTCTCCTCTATTCCTTGAGTCCAGAGGTATTTTTATTTTATTTTTGTGATTTTTATTTCCAATGTTATGAGTTTTTGAAGTTTATTGGGATTTTTTAGATTTGATTAATTCAGAAAACTTGAATTTTCCACTTAACCTAGTCAGCACGGGTCATCCTCGATGCAGGTGAAAGCCCAATATCTTCCACTGATTGGTTGCACTTTCCACGTAGATGTGCCCTGTCCCACAGTTTGGTATTTCCCTCCTCCACTGTTTTGTGGTCAAACTTGATCTGTGTCGTTCGTTTCTAAGACACGGAAACAGAAGACAGGTTCATCGTCCCCATGGGATAGTGAACCGGGAACCATTCGTGTTCAAACCCTAATATCTAAAAACTTGATCTTGACTTTTAATATGCAATAGTATAATGTTCTTCACTTATCTTTCCTTACTATGCAAAAGTTTGACTTTTAATATGCAATAGTATAACAATGTATTTGATTATGTTCTTCACTTATCTTTCCTTACTATGCAAAAGTACCAAAAACTTGATCCTGGAGAAAATAAGAATTTAAATTTTTAACTTAATATATATATTGGGATACTACACAAGTATATGTATCATTATCAAGTAATGTAGGACTTTTGGATTAAGCCCCGAACATTGAATCCACAGGGATTGTTCACAGTATGCAATAATTAAGGTAACAAACTTTCTACTTTAAAAAGACAAATACTTAAATTATAATTTTTATCACATGAATAAAATTTAAACTATTTTTGGTATTTTTAATATTTGAAAATGAAATAAAAATTTATTAAAGATAACTTGAGTTTATGTAAAAGAAAAAACACTGAATACGAAATATCTTTCTCCTTATCATGAATCAATAATAAGTATAGGAATTCTGTTGTGAAAATATTCAAATTGTGTTGTGCCAAATAGAAGTAATATTGTTCTTTACTCTTACTAGAGATGTTATAAAGAACATTGTCTAATTTAAAGTTTGAATAATTCTGAAGACCGGTTAGGCAGGGAAGATACTAGCTCTCATTCTAGAGTTCCCTCGGTTCCCTCCACCTGGGGGCTAATATCTCATATCAAAACCTAAAAAAATAAACCAAGATGGGGGCTTTAGTCTTTCACTCTAAAGTCCTCTAACTCGACACATTTCAAAGATTATTTTCCTATTTATTTGCACTCAATCATATGAACTACATTTTCATTCATACAATCTCATGTGATTTTTTCCAATTGTTGACTGAGACAATATTATCCTGGTTATTACATATTCTCACAACAAATTTCAACATCTAGATGGGCTAGATCAAGAAGTAAATGAAGTGCATGGAATTAAATCATCACAACTTCTTCCAACATTAAAGATTAATACTCTCTACAACTTCCATCCAACACTTTAATTACTTATCATTTTAAGGAGAAAGATAAAGAAAACTACTCAGAATCTATGGAGAAAACAAAATCACACTTTACTTTAAAAGTAGAAATCATTGTCAAAAACCAACAAGAAGTCTTGATTAAAACCAAAAGTAGTTTCAAAGTAAGATAAAAATTTATCTCAAATCCTCCACCAAACTCTTGAAGTTCTTTTGAGTCTCTTCTATCTTACAACACTCTTAACTCTCAAAATAAAACTAAAAACAAAAAGAAAAATAAATTTGTGGTGCCTGAAATTTTCTCCAAAAGCTTCTTCAAGAACTTTTCAGAACTCTTCAGGACCCTTCTAAAAGTCTCAACTTCCTTCTTTTATAATTTTTCTTTTATAATTTTCCAAGAGGTGTCTTTGGTGTCTCTTCAAAATGTGTTCACATTCAATGAATCTTCCAAGAGTTGTCTCCAATGTCTCCTTTCACAAGGCCTTTAATTATATTTTCGTACTTAGTGGTTATAACCACCCATTTTAGCCAATAGGTGCCTCAAATGTCCCTTCAAAATTCGTCAACCTGAAAAATAACTGCCTTTGGCGCTTAAGCGCAAGGCCTCTGGTGCTTAGGAGCGCCCTTCTCTGTTTCACCGGCGCTTAGGCGCCAAAACGTTGGTTCGGGCGCTTAGGCGCCAAAATACTTTTGCACCATTTTTGCATTTTTGCTCAAAATTTGATCTTTTTTTACTCCTTTTAACATTTTTTCACTTTTTTACTTATACTTGAAAGAAAAACACACAAATATCTTCCATTAAAGCTCAATATCTTAAAAATAGTTATAAAAATGTGTCTAAAAATACTATATATTTTAGTTGTATCACTCGCTCGATTCTCCACCAAATCACTCGGTATTTTTTCCTACACCATCTAATCGAGTCGAAGCTATCTATGTAGTTCATTGAAGGTGCATTGTACATATCTTTCACAAAGGGCCAAATTGCGGGCCATTTTCTTAAATTTAAACCCATACCTTTTCCCGAGAGGTAAGGCCTCAATTGATCTTGACAGAGACGATTTCCTTGAGATTGCACAACCCCTTCTTGCTTCAATTTGAACAGAATTTGGCTCTAGCTATGAGCTAGCCCAAATAGTACCATGGTTCGGTGTTGGAATAGGTTAGAGGTCACAAGAAAGCTTAATTTTGATTCGGAAGGATGTGATAAGCCTTGTGAAGCTTTTGAGAAGGTTTGTTTAGAGCTTGGAGAGGGTTAGTGTCGAGCCCGAAAAAATTCCTGGGTTTCAATGGTGAAATTATGGTTTGACGGTGGAGGGACTGGCTTGAGGATGGTGGGGATTTATTGCCTTAGTTAGTGGGAAGGTTTTCTATGTTGAGAGCAGAAGGTTTGGGAGGCTGCCTAAGAAGCATGGTGTGTCTTCAGACCTCTCGGGTTAAGGCTAATTATAACCATGAGAGCTCATGGGATGAGCTTGGCTATGCATGGAGAAGCTCAAGCTGCTTCCTAGAGCAAAGAGAATTTCAATTGGTTTTTTAGGGGAACGATGCTTTTTAATTTTTTTATGACTTAAACATGGAAGGTCCAATTGGTGTGAAGGTATCATGGAGGAGAGCTTGGTTTGATTGGGGAGGCTTTTGGTGGGGTGGGTAAGACCAGGTTTTGTCTGGCTTGTCTTCCTGACCCACATACAGTGTCTCCTGATGGATTCTACCTCTTTGGTGGCTTCTCTGGTTCTGATTACTTAGTTTTATCCTCTCCTATGGTGAAGAGTGTAAGATTTTTCTTTTAGTGGTTCTCATGCTTAAATTAGTGTTAATTAATCTTAATTTATGTTCTATTGTCATGATGGGTTATGGTGAGTCATTGTGGGTCATGGTGGATTATAGTGGGTCATGGTTGGCCCATGTGAGATGGGCCAAAAAGGTTGGGCCATGAGCTTGTGTTTTGGATTTTACGGCTAGTCCTAAGTGAGTTCAGGCTTAGCCCAATAGCCTAAGCCTAATTGGTTTTCATAATTCACCTAATTAAATAATTAGGTGAATTATGGCGGGTTGACCCTATGGTGCCAAGTTGACTCCAAGGTGGTTTGATGTCTTGACCACCTTGAGTGGGGCTTAATTTTGTGGCAATGAGGTCCCTTGGTCAAGAATTTACCCAAAATTGGGTTTTATCCCATTTGGTTGGGTCACCCATAATACCACCAAGTTTTGGAGTCAAATTGGTGTGTTGGCGTTTCAAGGTGATTTTAGGGTTAATCTGGGGTTGGGAAAGCCTTAGATGGGCTAGGGATCAATTTAGGTAGACCTCCATCCCATTAAAATTTTTGGTGTCATGGTGGTCCTTAGGTTTCATAGGGAGGTTTCTTGTGTTTTAGGTTTCATAAATGACCCAGGGCATATCCTACCCATGATGGATCAGATTGGGCCTCTCATCATACCAAAACCCAAAACTAACCAAACCAAGGGTTGGGGCTTTGGGCTTGTCCTGATGAGGCCCAAGGGGAACATATTCCATGTCTGAGGGTTATGTACAGGTAGTGGGTAGACCCTTACACAAGTGGGGTTCACACCAGTTGCAACATTATGATCACCCGGTTGAGCGCAAACATGAAAGATAGCTAGCCAAGACACCAAGGTCACCCGATTGAGCTAAGAAAATTTAATTGTTCAGTCACAGTGCCGAGATTGCCTGGTTGTGTTTAAATACGAAGATAACCGACCAAGATAACAAGTTTGACTAGTCGAATCCCAACTAACTCAAAATTCCTTCACATCCAAATGAGAATCCCTCACCTAGCAACGATAAGCCACACAAGGGGTGGATGATAAATCATCCCAAGGAGCCATATAAGTACTTGCTGACTTCTAGCAAAATAGGCATTTCGTAAAAGCCGATAAGACGAATTCAAAGCAAACAAAAAAGTAAAAAGTAAGCAAAAACTATTATCATTTCTTAGAACAAAAAGATGTACACAATTTTTCTTAAATAGATGGTTTTCAGAAATAGTTGACCTGCCAACCAAGCATGGACGGAAGGAACATATTTTTTAAAAAGAAAATAAGAAAATAAGAACAAAAAAATTACGTAAAAAAAGAAGTAAAAAGGAGCCTAGGTGGTTGCGGACCCGTTGTTGCCTCCATCTCCAACTTAGTCCAGATGATCTGCCTTGCCACTTTCCTCATCTGAATCTGTGAAGAGTGTGGCGAGTTGGTCCATGTCAGTCCACTTGGGCTCCATCAGTCCTCTCTTTGCAAAGGGCTCGATAGTCATATCCAACTTGACTTGCATTTGCTCAAATAGTTCTCTAACATGATCCTCCTAATTGATCGTCTCAGCCGGACATTCTTTCCTCAAGCTTTATTATTAATTTT